GTGTTCATCAGAGGGAGGGGATAAGAATTATTTTCAAAGGTGAAGCTTATATTCCTGCATTAAAATTGTAATTTCATTTTCTTCAATTTCTTGGCCTCTGCCAGCCCTGTGCATGTATGTGAATGCACAAAATGATAAGAGATTGACTAAAATTTATGATATGAAATGGAAGAATGACATTTTATGTCAATTATAAGTTAAACAATCCCAGTTCTATGCTATTAGTGAAAAATGAACTAAAATATGAAAGGTCACTCAAGAAAACAAAATAGTTTTATAAAAATGTGAACTACATTTCTAGCAGAATCCTCTGATGCTACTATAAGTAATTAAAATTGTGCAATGGATCATGTTATAGAATAATCCTATCTATCTATCTATCTATCTATCTATCTATCTATCTATCTATCTATCTATCTATCTATTGTTTCTAAAGGCCTGATCTTGGGGAATGTTTAAGATTGAAATGCTTATATATATGCTTATATATCAATTAATCAATCAATCAGAATAGGTACCTTAGAGGTCTTCTAGTCTAGCCCCATGTTCAAGCAGGAGTCCCTATAGCATTTCAGACAAGTGGCTGTCCAGTCTCTTCTTAAAAACCTCGAGACATGAAGCACCCACAATGTCTGAAAGCAAGCTGTTCCACTGGTTAACTGTCCTCACTGTTAGGAAGTTTCAGGTTGCTTCTCTCCTTGATTAGTTTCCATCTGTTGTTTCTTGTTTTGCCTTCTGGTGCTTTGGAAAATAAATTGACTCCTTCCTCCTTGTGGCAGCTTCTGAAATACTGGAATACTGCTATCATGTTCCCCCTAGTCCTTCTTTTCTCTAGACTGGCCATTTCCAAATCCTGCAACTGTTCTTCATATGTTTTAGTCTCCAGGCCTTTAATCATCTTAATTGCTCTTCTTTGCACTTCTTTGACCAAAACTGGATGCATTATTCCAGATGTGGCTTAACTTAGGCTTTATAAAGTGGAACTAATACTTCACATGATTTTGATTCTATGCCTCTGTTTATATAACAAAGAATTGTATTAGCTTTTTTGGGTGCAGCTGCACACTGCTGGCTCATGTTTAAGTGATCATCCACTAGGACTCCAAGGTCCCTCTCACAGTTACTGTTTTTGAGCCAGGTTTCACCTAATCTGTACTTATACCTTTGGTTTTTCCTGCCCAGGTGTAAAACCTTGCTTTTCTCTACATTAAATATAATTTTGTTAGATAGGGGCCATTGTCAAGGTCTTTTTGGATTCTGAGCTTGTTTTCTGGGGTGTTGGCTATTCCTGCCAACTTAGTGTCATCTGCAAATTTGATGAAATCTGCTTCTAGTCCCTCATCTAAGTTATTTATGAAGATATTGAAGAGTATTGGACCTAAAACAGAACCTTGTGGTACCCCACACCATACTTCCCTCCATATAGATGTAGTATCATTAAGGACTACTAGTAGTATGGTTTGTCAGACAGTTACAAATCCATCTGGTGGTGATGCTATCTATCCCACATTTTTCTAGCTTACCAAGAAGTAGGGTATGGTCTACTTTGTCAAATGCCTTGCTGAAGTCTCAGTATACTATGTCCACAGCATTTCGCTGGTCTTCTAATTTAGTCACTTTGTCAAAGAATGAAATAAGATTGGTTTGGCATAATATGTTTTTAACAAACCCATGCTGGCTACTAGTTATAACTTTGTTTCTAGATGTTCACACATCTGTTTTTTGATTATTTTTTTCCAGTATCTTTCCAGGTATTGATGTCAGGCTGATTGGTGTAGTTTCCTGGATCTGAGTGTTTTTTTCAAAGATGGTAACCATATTGGCTCTTTTCCAATCCTCTAGTAGTTCACCCATGCTTCAGGATTTTTTAAAGATATGATACAATGGTTCTGAGATAGCATTTGCCAGCTCCTTCAGAATTCTGGGATGTAATCTGGCAGACCCCATTAATTTATATTCATCAAGGTGTTTATATTCATTCAGACAGGTGTTCTCTTACTATTTTCTTGTTTTCTTTAATTTTTGTTTCAAGTCTGTCATTTAGAGTTATGTTTTTGGTAGGTTGGTCTATAGCAGTGATGGCGAACCTTTTAGAGACTGAGTGCCCAAAAACTGGCCCTGCCCCTGCTCCACCCCTGCCCCGCCTCTGTTCCACCCCCATCCCATCCCCCACCTGCCTGCAGGGCCACTCACCACCTCCAGGGCCCACCGCAGATTGCCCAGGCAGCCCAGTAGCATCATGGTGGCCATGCCCTCTGCCCGCACCCCGCAGCATCAACTGTGCAGGATGGGGCATAAGGGCAGAGTCTTGTCTACGCTGCTTGGCTGCCATGTCCTTGGCTGCCTTGCTCTGTGTGGGCCACACTTGGGGGCGACTGTTCTCTGGGGGGGCTGATGGTGAGGAGGGGGTCTCTGGGGAGGCAAGGCTGAGGCAATGGCACATGTGCCCACAGAGAGGGCTCCGAGTGCTGCCTCTGGCACCCGTGCCATAGGTTCGCCATCACTGGTCTATAAGGTTTTTTTGTGTGAAGATTGATGCAAAGAATGAGTTAAGCAGCTCTGCTTTCTCTCTGCTGCCTGTTATTTCCTTGCCTTCTTCTGTCTGTTTCCTTGACTTTTTTTGTTATATACATACATACATACATACATACAGAGAGAGAGAGAGAGAGAGAGAGAGAGAGAAAGATGCATGTGTGTACAAGCTGATTTCAGTAAGAATTCTGAAAATCATGGCTTAAAAATAAATGTCTATTGACAAAATGATGAGAAATATTAATAGATACAATCAGAGAGTCGGGCTTATTCATAGAGGGTGGATAACTAATGTCAAAATCAAAAGTTGAGCAACCAAAATCCTGTCCCTTTTAACATGTGTGCAATATATGTGATGAATATTTTGACACCCCTCTCCTCATGGGTACCCCTGAGAAACCCAGTGGATAAAGTGTCGGATTGGGATTGGTGAAACCACAGATACACACATGCATCATCAACCATGGAAGCTCATTGTGTAACTTTGAACCAGTTACTCTCAGCCCATCTTACTTCACAGAATTGTTATGATTGCTCTTTGGGGGAAAATTATTAGAGAAGGGATGTTATGTATGTCACTCCTCTTGGTAAAGTGGGGTATAAATTTAGCAAATACATGAAATAAATAAATGTATCTGTCTGTTCAGCCAGCTGTCAGGGTGCTTTGAATTGGATTCCTGCATAGAACATAAGATTGGATTCAGTAGCTTTTCAAAGTTCTACTAAAAAAAAAAAAGCATTAGCTTATTTCTAGAATATTTCCACTGTGTTGTTCTGTTAATGAGCCATTCTAGCTCTTACAGTCTTTTAGAAAATTAAGTTATCTGTACCAATCATTGGAAGGCATGGTCTTTCTGAAACACATAGAGTGAATAATCACACTTTAATCTCTGCATGTAGCTGACTGGTTCCCCACAGATGCTGTGGTTTAGGTATTTAACTGTGCTGTGGATGTTCTTTGTTTGTTTTGCAAGTGAAACAATAATGAAATAGTGGACACTTGGTTGTGCCTGCTAGCTTTGTTTAATGCAGATGCTATTTTTCTTTATTTGGCACCTGGCACCTGAAACAGACTTAAACAGAATGTGAAAAATAAACCTATTTCATGTAATGTATCTTTCTTTGAAAGGAGCTGCCATTCATTTGCTTGGGCTTCTTCTGCCAATCCTTTGTAAACTCACTAGGATTCTAAGACATAGCTTGAATATTCATTTTAGCAATTCTTGGGAAATATTTAATGTATTTTAAAAGACTATTGCAGTGTATATATCATTCTTTTAGTAAGGCAACATCTTATAGTTACTTTTAGAAGAAACTGTTGGTTTTGATCAATACCCTTTCTCAGGGCTTTTTTTTGTCATAGAATGCCCAGAACGGAGTTTCGGCATCTTTTTTGGATGGAACCTTGTAGGGTAGGCAAGGCGGGTTGTATGACATGTGTGAGTTCCGGCACCTTTTTTTTTTTTTTTTTTTACAAAAAAAGCACTGCCCTTTCTGTTCTCCAGTGAAAAACTTGTTTTCCATTTTTCCCATCCACAGACCATGTTTTGCTTAATGAAGAAAAGATAAGTTAATGAAATCTATTTTCTTGATTAGAAGATGATCCTGAATTTAAAACAATTCTTTTGAAGAATTGTGATTCTTGATAAAAAATTTAATACAATTAATACAAATTTAATGCCAACTTTGTAACGTTGTCAATCCAAATTGTACTGAAAGATTTTGTTCTCCTCCTGTAAAGTATGTGTGTAACACTTTTGTGTGTGCATTGCAAATATATCCAGAAGTCACACTTTTGTGAAAAATGCAGACCCAGGATTAAAAAGTCATTAATTATATTAGTAGCTTCTGATTAAAATCATCTGGTTGTAAAATAACAAGTTAATACTAACCTTCAAAGTTTATTGAACCTTATTATTAATAACCTTTTGTAAAGTTAACTGTTTACACCCAAGCAGTAGTTAATCTTAAAGGGAATTGATTTTATGGCTATCTATAACTATTTGCATCTCCTACTTCTCCCCATATTTTTAACAGTTTGATATTATTTTTTGCTGTTCTTCTCAATATAAGATGATGATCCTACACCCATAAATTTACCAGTAATTATAATGGGGAAATCTTGGCTTATTCTTACAATAAATACTGTATTTTCCAGAAACATGAAATGAGTTTTAAGCAAAAGAAATCTAAGTTGATGGTTTGTCAGTATGTAAAACCTTTTAGAACTAATGCAATATCTGCCGTATGCTATTATGTAGTTGAGTCTACCAATGCTCATACTTTGCACCTGCTTTGTTATTAATTCATTTTGTTCACATCTTTAATTCAGGCTGTCATAGTATCCTAGGCTTTCATACCTTTCTCTAATGGAATCTCGCACTTAGATCTAGTATTATTGGATGCAGTTGAAAAGTTAATATAACTGGGTAAGTTACCTCCATATGTTTTTTATGTGTGTGTTGCAGCTGGAGCCACATATATCTTTGGGAAAAGTGGAGGCCTGATCCTGTATACTTGGCCAGCAAATGACAGACCCAGTACAAGGACAGACCGCCTAGCTGTTGGGTTCAGCACAACAGTAAAAGATGGCATCTTGGTACGGATTGACAGTGCCCCTGGCCTTACTGACTTTTTGCAACTTCATATAGTAAGTACAGATCTTTTCTGCTTCATTTTGTCTTCCGTTTTCATGCCTACAAAAATTCATTTAAACAGCCAACAAAACAAAAACAAAGTTCTACTTAGAAGTACATATTTCCAACAAGTGTAATCTTAAATAACAGTTAAGAAATTGTTTTACCATAGTTGTACATAAAATGTATTCTGGATGAGTCTAAAGATAATCTAGACCTTTAAGTTTCCTTATTTAATATTGTCTTAATATAAGCAATTATAGTTTTCTTTGGACTCAGTATATACTTTTGTAAGTTCAGACCAGTGTTTCTCAGCTTCTTTGCCCACAGTTTCCTTATGATTTTGTTTTTTTATTGTGGCCCCGCTGTCCAGGTCCCGTTACCAGATATGGACATAGGGCAATAACTGGTGTATTCTCTGGCATCAATAAGATAGCATTTGCAGTTTTTTTTCCCCCTGTGATCCCTCAATAAATGCCATGCTCCCTCCCCCATTACATGTTTTTTCAACTTCTGGTTCCCTTGGAATATCCAGAGGACCATATGGACTCTGGCTGAGAACTGTTGATTGTATTATAGAAGAAACATAAAAGGAATCTAGAATAGTCTTAAGAAATGGCATTTGAGGCCAGCATTTGAGTCTCAACAACCATTTACTAGTGCATAGATCTACATACTGGTGCTCTCTAGATTTCTTAGATTTACAGTTTCCAGAATTCTCAACTAGAATATTAATACTTGGGACTTCTTGGACTTGAAGTCCAATAAACCTGAGATAGTTTGCACTGAGTATTAGTCTCCAGTTTTATTGACCATGGAATGGTGAATATCTGATCATAAAAAAGTGAAACTGAAAATGACTGAAAGATAGACATAAGGGAGGATTTATGTATTTATTTATAAAATTCATTGACTGCCCATCTTACCATAGGGTAACTCTGGGCAGCTTACAGTTACATATAAGAGAATGAATAAGGAACCAATCTATAGTTTATTTCAAAATCCAAATACTGAGGAAACAAATGCTGCCTACTTAACATGCCATCCTTTTGATTCCTATGCTTGACTTCCTAAAAAAAAACTTGCGGGCATACAATGACTTTAGAATTCCCCAAATTAAAACTCGGAGTAACTAAGAATCAAGATACTACATTACTTAGTATAAATATTGAATATATACATATATGTTGTGGATACAATCTGTTCTGGATGGAGTAATATTGACTTACACAGGTCAGATATGCATTTGTGAGTGCTCCAAGATCTAACATGGTTCCTAAAATATATAGAAAGACACAGCTCCAACAGTATTTTTGGAGGTATCTTTCTTCTGCCTGCTGCATCTTTCTTTAAGAGAAGGAAATTTGGGTAAAAAGACTTCATAGTTTCAGGAATCTCATTTTAGCTGATTGTGCTATGCTCAATATCACATCTGTGTTCTTCATTAATGTTTGAAAACTACACTTTATTCTAAAATGCTGGCCAAATTGGGTTTCATAATTAGATTACAATGGTTCTGGTATTACACTGTTTTTCAGTTGCAATTCAGTTGCATTTATTTTACTTAATAAACGTGATTTGGGCATGTAGAGAACCATCTCTTCCTACTGAATAGGATCAACATGTTATGATCACTGAAGGGTACTGTATCCCACTATCTTGAAAGACTAAATTGTTGAGTATTTAGGACCGGGCCTTTTGTAAAATTAGCACTGTAATTATGGAATCTTCTCTTGACAAAAGTGAAATTGGATCCTTCATTATAAGGCATTATGCAGGGTCCTCTGAGCTTTTCTGAATTGTCAGTCTTTTCATGTGACATCATTTATTAACTCTCTAATTTCAATTCCATTCTCAAATTTCATTGAATGACTTGTTGGCTTTGGTAAAGAAAGCAATTTTTAAATTTAATGAAATAAATACAAAAGAATGCTATCATACTGTAATCTCATTTGATATACTTCCTATCAGTAATTTATAATTTTCTACAACATTGGAACAGTTATCTTGATTTTCATGTCTTTGTCCTTATAAATGAGTTTTAGTCTACATCTACCCAGCTACATCCCTTTTTTGCAGTAACAATATAACCTTTATCGATATGCTTCAGTTTATACTTTATTGTTTTTTAGTATTTAAAACATCTTGGTTTATGATTGCATAAGTATTTTTTTTAAAACTCAGAATGAGACTGCCTATGACATTTGGAGCAAAATGAAATAATGAATCTCGTACATGAAGACACATACAAATATACGGACATATTCTCTCATAATCAAACACATAAAAAACATACAATAATATAATAACAATTTCCAATTCCTCTGATATTCTCTCTCTTAAAGGCAATTCCAGGGATTCTCAGGACATCTATTATAACACACATTTTCTTATATGCATATAAGTAAAGTGAATACATAAAATATTTTAATTTTTTCATGAATATAATTTATAAAAAATCCTTTTAGTCATTTTTTAATTATGAATCCTTTAAATACTCAGAGATTTATGTGCTCAGGCATCTATTTTGTATGTATTTCTCTCACACACAGACACATAGACACATACAGCAGGAGGGAGGGAAAGAGAAAGAGAGAGAGAGAATGGATGGAATACATCCAGGATGATTCAGTTCATAAATTTATAGTTAGGCAGGATTAAGCTTAGGCAAAAACATATGCAAGAATGCTGCCCTCAAATTCTTGTTGCTTTAGAAAGGTCAGAAAACAAATTCCATTAGACAATTGGAATACAACTTTATAATATAGAGTAATGGAATCTTGAGAGATTCTATCTCCTTCATCTTATACCCAACAGAATCAATGACAATCTTCAATTCTTCCTCCTTTCCAAGCTAAGTTGGATTTTATGTAACAGCTGTTGAATACAGTACCTTTTTTCCAAGCCATCTCTGTCCTCCTCTCTCTCCAAATGTTTTAAACTAACCCAAAGTGCTTCTATACATTCATTGACTCTATTGCACTCTATTGCACTCTACTGCACCTTAGTTGCACCAACAGTAGCTATGTGATCTATAAGAAGCAAAAATTGCTCACAGAAAATAAAACAAGGATTTAGTAGGACATCTGTGGCTTATAAAAGAGATAGTACTGCTGACATCTAAGGAGAGACAAATCATTTTCCTGGTTTTTAGAGCTTTATATTCCTGCCTATCATTTAAGTATTTATTGCAACCTATACTTTCAATATTTGTAAAGGAAATAGAGGGATTCTTATTCTACAAATGGTGTAAGGACTGAATCTGGTAAGGAATCTGAATCTGGAATTTCTGGTAAGTTAAAAACCAGAAATTCCCAGTTTATAACATATTGTTATATAAATAAGTCTGTGTGACTGCAAGGCTTACTTGAGGAAGGTTGCAGGAAAAAGCCCAGAATTTAAATTCTGATGCATAACCCGATAGAAGGGCTTTGACTTGTCTGCACTGTACAGAAGTAAAGTATGTCCATAGTAGTTCTGTGACCCACCAATTTAGTCACTTCATCAAAGAAGGCAATAAAGTTTTACTGACATCCGTTTTTAACAAATCGATTTTGGCTTCTAGAAATAGCTTTGCTCATTTCTAGGTGCTTGCAAATCCACTGCTTGATTTTCTTTTGCAGGATTCCCAGATATTGATATCAGGCTGATTGGTCAGTAATTTCCTGGATCCATTTTTTTCCTCTTTTTTGAAGATTGGAACTACATCAGTTCATTTCCAGTCTGCTGGTAATTCCCTGGTGCTCCAGGAGCTTTAAAAGATTTTGTTCAATGGCTCTGAGATCACATCTGCCAGCTCCTTCAGAAACCTGGCATGTAATCCATTTGTTGCTAAGAACTTGAATTCATCTAGAGTGAATTTATGGCTTGTACAGTTAGGACAGTTAGGGTTGGAGGTTAGCAAGCCTGCATTTGGAACTCGAGTGCTGCCATGGCATGGGGCATGAAAGGAGCCCTCAACTGGGTGTCACCAGCTAATCCTCTCAATCTGGAAACACCTTGGTGCTTCTAACATGGGTGCAATGTGATCTAGAGTGGATAGATGTTCTATTACCATTTTCTTACCTATTATATCTTCTATAATATTGCTTTTGATAGGTTGGACTATTTTCCCCCTTTTGCATAAAAATAGATGCAAAGAATGAATTAAGGAGCTCTGCTGTCATATTCTTGTCATCTTCTCCCTTTAGTGGACCAATTGTTTCCCTGATTTTTTTTCTTGTTGCTTACATGTTAAATATGGGTACATGGTAATCATAGACCCATTTAAACTAACCCAAATTTCTTGGTTTGTATGATACTATGAACCACATAGGCTGAGTTCATGCAATATATTAAGATAATTCTATTGAATTCTCCAGCAATTCTCTTTCTTGAAGGATAGAGATTGATTGACTCCATGTGCATAAAGGAAAGAAGAGGAAAGAAAAACTCACAGACAATATAAAATAAATAGGAAATCAAACATGTTGATTAGAATAGGTCAAATAATTTTCTAATCAGTATTCCCAGTGGGAAAATACATGTTCAGTAAAAGAAAAGTATCAGGACATTCTGCCATTGATGGCTAATGAGTATCCATCCATCCATCATTACACAATTTTTGTACATTATATCTAATTCTGTTTGTACACATTAATAATTTATCTCTGGTTAGTATTATGTTTCACATATAGCTCAACTCGAACATTTACAAATGAGTCTTCCAAAACATAATTTATATATCAAATAACTTTTATCCAAAAGAGGCTAGATATAAAATAAAACTACATCGTGCAAATTATAATGTAATTATAATTATAGTATATTTGCATAAATTGTAGCCACTGTGCTCATAGTAAAATACAATAAATAAAGGTTACCTTATTGTATCTTAATTGTGTTTATTGCAATGTTTGATATAATTCAAAAATAACCATATACAAATTATAATATGTTTATGAAAATAGGACATATGGATGCTAAAATGGTCTTTCAGTGATGTTCACATACCAGACTCTTCAATTCCTTATTT